TAAACTGAGGCAAGTGTTGCCTGCAGTTCTTTTTATGTTCATTTGGGTTCGTCTGGTGGATGAGTTATTGATGCGCTCTTGGTGAAATTTGTTAGACAGGCCACTCCTGGGAAGGTTGACCACTGTTCCAAGTTTTCTCCATTTGTGGATTATGACTCTTACTGTGGTTTGCTGGAGTCCCAGAGCCTTAGCAATAGCTTTTTAACCCTTTCCAAACCAGTAGATTTCAATGACTTTGTTCCACATCTGTATTTGAATCTCTTTAGAACATGGCATCATGTGCTGCTTTTTGAGACCTATTAGCCTGCTGCTCATTGCTAGACGGGTTCTATTTAGATTATGTTTAGATTTAAAAGGTATGGCAGTAATTGGGCCTGGGTGTGGCCAGTGAAAGTGAACCCAATAGTCAACTGAATTTGGTTAACTGGTTGATTTAATAGCTAAGGGGGCAATTAGGGCCAGGTAGGGCTAAACAGCATTTTTCCTTCAATGAATAAAATCATCATTGAAAAACATTTTGTGTTAACTTGGGTTGTCTTTGTCCAACATTAAAAGTAATTTGATGATCTGACACATTCAAGTGTGAGAAATGTGCCACAATAGAAGAAACTTGGAAGGGACAAATACTTTTTCACAGCACCGTACATGTGCCTGCATACAATCATGATGCAGTGTAATGAAACAGTGGAACCATACTGGTATAATTTTGATAACACTTTTTAAAGTTATGGCTTGGTAATAAATCAAATTCGCTACCCCAGAAGTACTTGATCAGCCATGACCTGTTTGGTGCCCAAATTTCACTTTTTTAGTTTTAAACTGGAGCTATAAGTTTAGCAGTGTAGCTAACAAACACTAGAAATCTTATAGTCACCCAAATTTTCCCATAAATACATCCCCAGATCTTCTCTCAAACCACTTGTCACATTAAAATAGTGTAATTTTTTTGCCAAACCATTTTTTAACAGGCCTTTGATAAGAACAACAGAGATCTTTATTTCTTTGAATAAATTTTAAGCTAAGATCATGTTGAATATACCACTGTTCATGACAAACCTCCATTGTGTCTCAAGGGGAACATGATGTGTTGGCTTAGACGATGACTTTCCAAACAGGAAAATGTCAGGAGTATCACTAAAGTGGACTTCCTCTCCCTTTTGTCTTTTAGGTAGTGATTATGTGAGAACATTTTTAGTCTTGTGAGAACCTTCTGAGCAAATGGTTTGCTGCAAACAGAAAGTCCATATGATTTAGTGGAAATCTTTGACAAGGTGATTTTTCAGAGTCTAAATAGGAATTCCAGCTGAGCCTGCACTTCTTTATCAGACTTCTTACTGCACTGAGAACCTCATTAGACTGTTATCAAGATGTTCTTCTAACTGACAGACCGGTAGATTGTAGATCACTGCATGATCAGTGGATTTTACAGTGCTAAAGTGCATACAGGTACCCACAGAGGCATATTGAAATAATCAGCTGCTGGACCAGCAGGCACATTGCTTCACACTGGCCTTCTTGTCCACTTCAACAATAGAATGTTCTTTGTGCTCTGTTGAGGTGTTTTTACAAATTGCGGTGGATTATGACACAGTCATACTCACTGCGCAATGGTGCTCATGGTTTTACAGTTCAGGCTCACAGAGATTGGGTTATCTGTTTGTGTAGCTCTGTCAAGGAAATGAAAGTACTCTGATTACATGAAAACTAACATGAGTGCACAGCTAGTCTTTTGATCAGGTTTATCTCCAGTGCATCAGGCAGTGGGGTCCTGCTGGTTCTTTGTCACAAACATGATCAATTGTTAAAAACTGTCACGTATGCTTCTATAATTACAAGAAAATCTTGTACCCAGAATGTTAGTTGTATGGTTGCATAAATGGCAGATGATTGCTACAGTGTTTCAGCAAGCTGTGGTGGTTTCAAGATCCTCATTTTGCATTAACAGATTTTAAACTTGCACGGCAGGGCTATGCAGAGACAGGAAGTAGGATTGAGATTGTAAGACCCCAACTACAGCATAGCAACTTTATCTACAGCAACAACTGATATTCAACCAGGAATGTTACATGTACAGGCACTTACCACAGGACATCCAGGAGCAACACAGCAATTATTATCTAATCATCATTGGTGGGAAGTGCTTCATGTTCAGTTTGCTCTCAGTGCAAAACATCAAAGACATTGCCGGCCGGCAAACTTGTCCCCTTACCAATTCCTGTAAGACTATAGTCACATATTGTAATTGATTTTATTACTGATTTACCCTGTTTACAGGGGTTTAATACCATTCTGACTGTAGTGGATAGGTTTCAAACAGCAGAAACTTTAGTCAATCAGGTGTTCAGGTACTTTGACATACCCGGAGAGAGACTTCAGGTTTGCAGAGGGGAGTAAAAAGCTCCAGCCTTAAATAAATAGGCCCATTTAAGATTAATGATGTCACTTATAAGCTTGACCTGCTTCCTCGTTATCACATTTCTCATTCATTTCATGTCTCCTTTCTCAAACCTGTTGTCACTGGTCCATTGGACAAGGCTACACCCGACATAGCACCACCCCCTTTGGAGGAAATTGATGGAGGACTCTTGGAGGACTCCATCTCCTAGAATCCTCTGAATGAACGCATGGCCATGACATCATCCCACTCTGCCTATCAAAATTCTTTGAATATATTTGTATTTTTTTGACAGACCAGCAATGACAGGCTTAAGGAGAGAGACATGAAAGGAGCATGAGTGGTTTCTCCACTTTGACCTTTGTCAAAGCAGGCAGAGAAGCTATTGAGTTCATCAGCTAGTGTGACATCAGTCACCAGTGGATAGGACTGCGCTGTTGCTGTTGTGGTTGATAAGAGACTGAACACCTTGCCATCAACATCGGGGGTTATTGCTGATGAAGTAGTCCTCAATTTTCTGCCTTTGAGCCCTTTTGGCTTGTTTGATGCCCTTTTTCAGGTTGGCCCTGGCAGTGCTGTATGCTGCTGCGTCACCTGACCTGTAGGCTGCATCCTGTGTTCTAAGCAGATTACGGACCTCGCTGTTTAGCCAGGGTTCTGGTTAGGGAAAATCCAGATGCTTTTCTTTACAGTCCCTCTGTCTGTGCAGTAGTTGATGTATGCCAGCACTGAAGATGAATACTCCTCAATGTCTGTCTTGAAGCTGGGAGGGTGCACCCTCGGGCCATGTCTGCACTGTCCTGATGGATGGTCTGACCCTGATTATGACAGGTCTGTAAGTAGGAGTGAGGAACAGGGAGATGTGATCTGATTGTCCCAGGTGGGGGGAGGGTGAGGCTATGTAAGCGTCTTTAATGTTTGAATGTACATTGTCTGATGTGTTTTCGCCTCTGGTGGGAAATCAACATATTGGTGAAAGTTTGGCAGTGCAGTCCTGAGGTTAACGTGGTTTACGTCTCCAGCAATGGTAAAAACCCCATCCGGATGCTTGTTCTGTTGCCATGTTATGGCCGGTAGTAGCTCGTCTAGTGCTATCCTAGCATTAACTTGTGGTGGTATGTAAACAGCAGTGATAATCACAGTACTGAAGTCTATAGGCAAGTAGAACTAATGGGAACTAATTTCCCCAGCAGGTAAGTTTTGGCAGTTTTACTTTTAGAGCAACTTGTACAAGACAACATGAACCGGGGAATATCAGCTAGCATATTCTCCCACCAATATTGAGTGCTAAGTAATTGTGTCTCTCCAGGGTGACCAGAAGTGAGAGATGAATGGGCCCAAGTAATCAAACAACCCCTAAATTCAACTGGGACGTATTTCTTATTTTAATGGCATTGTGGGGGACTAGATGAATGTTCTAGAGCCTGATCCATTTTATTGTCTACTTCCCACCTAACAGCGGGCACTACACTCTCTGCGGCTATAATGTTAGTAGGCTTTTCTGGATCAGGGTGAACTAAAATAGGTGCTGACATGAATGCTTCTTTTAGTCTTTGCAAAGCATGTTCAGCTTGTGGACTCCAAACTAAATGTTTGGGTCCTCCCTTTAGAAGTGATGTAAGTGGGACAGCTAAGGTACTAAGTCTCTGAGGAATCTTCTGTAAAAGTTGGCAAATCCTAAAAATTGCTGTAGTTGCTTAATGGTAGCGGAAACGGGCGAGTTTGTAACAGCATCGACCTTGTGGTCATCCATAATCACACCCTCATAACTAATGACAAGAAGGATATCTCCTATACATGAAACTCACATATTTCTTCTATAACATATAATTGATTTTGTAGCAGTCTTTGGAGGCCCTGGTGAATGAGCTAAAAATGGGTCTGGATGTTGGAGGAATAAACCAGAATGTCATCTAAATTTGCAATAGCAAAATGTCAAAGCATCTATCTAAATACATTATTAATGAATGATTGAACAACAGAGGGCAGACTACAGACAGGCATTACCAAGTACTCATAGTGGCCATTGCCCTCGGGCTTAAATAAATACTAGCTAATGACTAGAGATGATAAACAGGTGTGTAGGTTCAGAATTCTTGTGAAGAGGAGTACAGGAATGAACGTTTCATTGGTGGATGGTGAAGTGAGGGGAGTCACATGATCTTCCAATGGCTCATGGGAGCTGGAGTCCTCTATGCAATCCATGGACTCAACTGATCCCACAGAGAAAGAGAACAGGTAAAGGAGGTGTCCTCAGTGGAAGGGGTGACATACATAAACAAGATGTAAATCGTACTCAGAGAGTGTCTCAGGACTTCGTTCCAGCACTGTATGAAGGCTGATGATGACACTAATTGTTTTATAATGATATTTCTTATATGTTGCACATGTGATATAATATGTTCTATAAAATCTTTGAAGATTAAATATAACCAGCAGGTTAAATGTTAAATATGTAACAGTACTGAAGAATAGTAATCAGTTACGCAACTCTTGAACGTAACACACTTCATCTTTTTTGTGTATTTAGGGGATTGCTATGGTGTAACTGTGTTGATTTTTTAGCAAAGTAGGAACTGTTGTCAGTCCTGTGCAATACCTCAGATGATCCCATCAGTGTAGAAACAGTATATAAGGCCAATGCCACAGAGCAGCTCTGCTACAGGAGGCAAAATGAGAAAGCTGTTGGTTTTGGCATCTCTGATTTTGGGCGTCTTTGGCAGGAAAACTTTTGAAGGGTATGTGTTCGAATATATGTATGTGTACGTATACATATATATATATATATATATATATATATATATATGTGTGTGTGTGTGTGTGTGTGTGTATACATAGATATGATCTAAAATTACTAAGAATTAAATCTGGTTAACTTTAAGAAAAATTTTTACTTCTCCTGTCTCCTGTAAAATTAATTTTCTGGAGATACAAAGTTTTCTCATGACAGTGATGATATACATTATACATTTTTATCACCAGTAAGGAAAGTTCATGAATTACTGTACTTGACATTTACAGACACCAGGTCCTGCGGATCACTGCAGTCAATGATGTTCAGATCTCTCTGCTGAAGAACCTGACTGATCATGAATATCTTGAGGTAAAATTCTTCCTGAATGTTGTAGGTAATTTATATGTCATTAGCGTTTGCATGTAAAATATCAATGTGCTGCATGTGTCTGTCCACCTGTGTGCAGCTGGACTTCTGGAGGGAGCCCGTTCACGAGTCTCTGCCTGTTGATGTTCATGTTCCCTCAACCAGTCTTCACAAGGTCAAGAGCTTCCTGAAGAACAACAAGATCCATTATGAAATCATGATCCAGGATCTTCAGGTTGGGAAGTTTTGAGTTTTGTTATTAAAATTCTTATTCTTATTCTTCTTCTTATTATTACTATTATTAATGTAATTGTTGTTGTTGTTGTTTCTGGTAATCAAAACACTTTAGCAACAAACTTCTTGTATATTTAAAATATCTTGGATCTTCTTGTTTTATCCATAACAAAGTATGTAGGACTTCTTGTGCTCTCAGTCATAAATCTGACCACTGAGTCGCTTGTCCACCTTACAAAATTTGTAATGTTTATGATTTCTAAATGCTTAAATACATTAACACATAGAGTTGTGGTCAGTTTTAACCCCTTGAAATGAAAATTTTATTACACACTTCTATAATGTAAGAATAGCTCAGCTAGTTTGGAGGTTATTAGAAAATAAGCCTTAGTATGTAATAAGCCTGAAACTTTAAAGGGGTTAAACTTCTAATAACTCATTTAAACATTCTTTTTCCACCAGGATCTTCTGGATGATGAACACCAGGAGATGATGCGCTTTCGTGCTCATCAGCCCAGATCCACCAATGAGTTCAACTACGCCACCTACCACACCCTGAGTGAGGTCAGAACTATTCTACTTTAATGTCCTGGCCTTTGTTACACATGGGTGTGTTTATAACCTATATTTGTCTCTATCAGTTTAATTATTTCAAGAGATTTTAAAGTCATGTGATGACAATTTAATATGATCACTGTCCAAAAATGCATAGCTTTACTCATGTGGTGTGACTTACACGACTTGTAGATGATGACTATGGTTTCTGCAGGTCAGACCTGCTCCTGGTCAATATCCCCCTAACTGTTCCTGGAAAAAGCTTTCTTTTAACCAATCACAACCATCTGAAGTCATAAGTGTGTGCCCTCTACTCTGACTGAGCAGCTAAACAATTCATCACAAAATTCATTTGCAGAAATGTTTGTTTGTTGAACAAAATGAAACACTGATTGTCTTTATCAGAAGTCAACCATGTCAGCCCAAAGGAGCACAGTCTCAAACGGCCCCCTACTCCCTGTGTAGTGCACTTCATCAACAGTGCATAATATGTCTAACAAAGAGCCGTTTGGGATTCAGCCATGAATGATTAATTCCCTGATGGATGTATAGCGTGTTATTTCTGTGTAGAAGCCACAGTTTCATAACTCACATGGTGCACTATGTAGGGAGTATGGAGCTATTTGTGATTCATCCTTAGTATTTTGTATATGTAGCTTACATTAGCTTAGCCACTTAAAGGCCTTTCAAAATGTGCAAAAGCATTTTAGTTCCTACAAACTGAATCTGTAAAATATTTAAGCTTTCTTTCATGATTAATTTAAATAAGGACTCTTAGAAGTCTTAGCAGTAGCAGTCTTAATCCAGAGGGTCATCATCAGAGTAGCCCCTCCTCCTTTAGTGTTCTGCGAATTTTGACCCGTCATAATATCATCATTGACTCTGGAGAGATTTTCTAATACTGATTTAGGACCATCATCCTCATGCTGATCCAGGATAAATTTACTAATATTGATCCACAACCATGAAGATGACTTCATGTTGGTCCTGTCTAGACTTACTAATGTTTATTCAGAACCATCATCTTGATTGTTGATCCTGGAGGGATTTACTAATGTTTATCTAGGACTATAGTCTTCATATTGATCCTGGATAGGTTTTCCAGTTGATCCAGAACCATCATCTTCATATGGATCCTGAATAGATCTGCACACTGGGACCCAGAACCATCATCTTCATATTGATTTTGAAAAGATTTACCAATGATCTATATTCCACATGAAGATAATGGTCCTCAATCAAAATGAGTAAATCTGTTCGACCCTAAATAGACTTACTAATATTAATTCAGAGCCATTCTCTTCAGGTTCATCCAGGGTAAATTTACTATTGTGCACTGAGGACCATCATCTTCATGCTGATCCTGAGTAGACTTACTAATGTTGTTTCAGGACTGTCATCTTCATTGCTGATCCTGGTGACAAGTAGTAATATTCATTCTTCATCATCTTCATGTTGATCTGGAATAGATTTTCAAAGTTTTGACCCTCATCTTTCTGTTGATCCTGGATAGATTTAGAGAACAATTTTACTTTACTTCAAGTGGCTCAGGGAGGAGTATCTAGCACACACTGATGACATGATCAGATGGCAGTGATTGGTCAAAAAAAAAATGTAGCAGGAACAGGAAAGGGATATTGATCCATGAACATGTCTTATTTGAAATCAGGTTCATTGATGTTTGACCTCTGACTGACCATCAGATTTGCAGTTCTAACCACGTAGCTCTGACTTTCAGATTTATAGCTTCATTGACATGCTGGTGAAGGAGAACCCTCAGTTAGTTAGCAAAATTATGATTGGTCAAAGCTACGAGGGCCGACCCTTGAATGTTCTGAAGGTAAGTCACTACTGTTAATTAATGTTTTTTATGTTTCATTAAAGTAAACAATTTTAGACAGCACAGTAAAACAGATGGGGAAAGATTTTAGCAAATTTATCCTTTTCTTTTAAGTTATGTTTTGTTTGCTCTCTCACATAGTTTAGCACTGGTCCTAACCGCCCTGGTATCTGGATTGACACTGGCATCCACTCCAGAGAATGGGTCACACAGGCTTGCGGAACCTGGTTTGCCAAGACGGTTCAGTTTACTCATTTTGCTAACTCATATTAATAAGATCCTAAGGTGAATCGAAACCCAGTTGCAAGTATGTGTATCATTAGCTGTAACGCATGTCTGTCTCATTGTGCAGATTGCGGATTCCTATAACCGTGATCCTGCTCTCGCTGCCATCCTTAATAAGTTCGACATTTTCCTGGAGATCGTCGTCAACCCTGATGGATTCCAGTTCACCCACACCTCTGTGAGCCCTCACATGTTCAGAAAAACATTAACCTACATATAAGATCTGTTACAAGTCCATCACAGTAACCAAATAAATGATGGTTCTTTTTAATCTGTCATGTCTTCAGGACCGCATGTGGCGCAAGACAAGGAAGCCCAATCCTGGATCCAGGTGTGTTGGAGTTGACCCCAACAGGAACTGGGATGCTAACTTTGGAGGTACTGTATACAAAGGTATACTTTTTTGTCATTAATGTACAATAATACATCAGGCAAAAGATCTAAACACTTTGATCTCCAGGCCCTGGTTCCAGTAACAACCCATGTGATAATAACTACCATGGACCTTCTGCCCATTCAGAGTCTGAGGTCAAGGCCATTGTGGACTTTGTCAAGTCTCATGGCAACCTCAAAGCCTTTGTGTCCATCCATAGTTTCTCTCAGTTTTTGCTGTACCCTTACGGCTACACCACGACTCCTTGCAGGGACCAGGCAGAGCTGGTGAGAAACAAAAAAAGAGCTACATAGTAAAATAAGCATCACACATTACCATACATTATACTCACTACATACCCTGACTGGCCACTTCATTAAGTACACCTCCTTTTATCTACACTCATTGTCCATTATCTCAGCTCCACTTACCATACAAGGACACTTTGTAGTTATACAATTACAAACTGTAGTCCATCTGTTTCTCTGCATACTTTTTTAGCCCCCTTTCACCTTGTTCTTTGATGGTCAGGACCCCCAAACAACCACCAGAGAGCAGATATTATTTGGGAGGTGGATTGTTCTTAGCAGTGACACTGACATGGTGGTCCTGTGGGTGTCCTGATCTTTGAAAAACAGGGTGAAAGAGGTCTAACGAAGCATGCAGAGAAACAGTGGGACTTCAGTGTGTATTTGTAGAGCTATAAAGTGCACCTACGTTGTAAGTGGATCTGATAAAAATGGACAGAGCGCGGATACAAGATAGGTGTGCTTAATGAACTGGTCAATCAGTGTAGCTCAGGTCTTTTATTGCTGTATGCTGTACGAAAAATGTTTCCTATTATTTTATCACAGCATAACCTTGCATGGAAGGCTGTCACTGCCTTGTCTCGTCCTTATGGCACCAGATACCGATTTGGCAGCGTCATCAACGTCATTTGTAAGTAGAACAAAACTAGAGCTAAATCAGCTGTTCCTAGGTTATAATGTTCATTAAAGGTTATTATATGTGTTTACAAGTGAAACTAAGCTGTTAGTGCACACATGCACCAATCAAAAATAAATAAATAAATAAATAAATAAATAAAAATGAAAAACAGCAATAATACAGACATTTCTACTTACAGAATCTTACAGTAAATTCAGACAATCTTTCCAGTTTACTGCAATATACTACACAACTATTATATAATACTGTAATAGAGTGAACATGAATATTAGCCTACAGGAGGAGAAAATACAGATTACACAAGTATTATATAGCAATGTAGAAATCTCATAGTTTCATATCATTATGGATGATTTTTGTAAGGGTACAATCATTGTCAGTCACTGAGAACATCTGATGCTACCATTAGCTTTAGTTTTAAAATAGCTGGATTCACAGAACATAAAAAAATGCTATTTATGCTAATAAAATAAAAATACATTTTAAATACAAATAAACTTTTTGTAGGAATTAAACTTGGTATGTGAGATTTCAGGTATCATATAGACAAATTAATGGCTTTCCCAATTAATTTAATGGGAGCAACCATCATTATTAGTAATGACTTAAATTTTAACATTCATTCAAATGATCATTCAAATTTTACTAGTAAAAATTACATATTGATATTTTGAAAATCTATCAATTATATGTTTAAATTGATTTCTTACAAGTTTGTTTACATGTCACATTTCATGCTTTTATTAGTACTAGTGACATTCTTTCTTGTTCAAATTGAATGTTTGGTATGAAAAACTGTCAGTTTAAAGCTAAAATGGTTCTCCATAGAAACGTCAGTGAGAATAGAAGTTTCTATTGTGAGAAGCTGAAAATTGTCTTATCTCTCAGACCAAGCTAGTGGTGGCACCATTGACTGGACCTATAACCAGGGCATCAAGTACTCCTACGCCTTTGAGCTGAGAGATACTGGTCGCTTTGGTTTTGCCCTGCCTGCCAATCAAATCGTCCCCACTGCTAAAGAGACGTGGTTGGCCCTCATGGTCATCATGGGCCATACCAAGAACAACACCTACTGAACCAACAGCTGGGTCAAACGATGATGCTTCAGTTAATACTGCACCTGCAGATGCACGATACAAACTAATAAAAAGTCATTTTTTATGAGAGCAATTTCCTCATTAAAGCTTCCAAGTGCTGTGAAAGACAGAAGTTGTTGTGTGTTACAGTTACCAGTCTTAGACCCCTGCACTCAGAACGTTTGTTTATTGGATGGATAATTATGATTATTGTCACTGTGCAAAAAAAAAGGGATCTTTAAAATGTTTTAATGTAATAATTGCTTTCCAGGTCATTTTGGAGCATTTATTTGTTTATTCATTCTGAAAATTAACACAATGCAGAGGGTAACTGGAGTTTTCAAATGCAAAAAAGTAAAAAAACAACAAAAGTGCAGATATGAGGCTTGTATGCAACAGCGACAGTTCCATTGAAAACATACTTTCTCAGTACTGCAAAAAAGTGACTCGTGGCATTTTGGTTTTGTACGTCACAAATAAACTTGGGCCTATCACGGTCCAATATACTAAAATATTCCAATGAGTTGATTACGACATGGTGATAAGAAACTACAAAACATGCCTGCCCTAATGTGTCAAATATGGTGAGCCCTACTAGAAAAACACAGATCACAGATCAGCATGACTGGTCACCGGAAAACCAGCATGTTTTGGACAGTACGCTGGTCAGCAGCAACAGAATTTGAAATGTTGATTACAATCAAAACCAGCATATGTTATTTTGAATGCTGGTAAACCAGCATAAATCAGCCTGGACTTTATGCTGGTCTGTGCTTTTTTTCAGCTTGGCTCTGGCGAACACAGTGATGTGATGTTCAAGTTGCAGGTAGCGGTAGCTTCACATACCACAGCACAGGTTTGATTCTGGCTCACCTACACTCCACTGACACTGCTCTATTATACTGTCCTCGTTAGCACTACAGGCTAGCGTAGCCTAGAGAGTAGGCCCAAAACAGTTTCACATACATAACAACACAGGTTCACCGTCTCACTGATGCCTCAGACTTGTTGAGACTTGACCCAAGTGTAGAGGATAACTGGTTTTGGAACAAAAAGGGGTGGCCAGTGCCACTCTAGCAAGAAGCCGGTCATCCTGGCCCCCCCAGTTACGGAGTGCGAGACAATCAGCTATCATCAATAAAGCAGTCACCAGAAAAATTGCATAAATGGTTACAATAAAAATTTGCCTTTAGGTAGATGGCCTGTCTAAACGTTATTCTGTAAAGTTACTGTTGCGCACTGAAAAAAGTAATGCATTTAATTGACTTGACCCAAATACATAATTTCATCATGAATGCATTACATAATTCATAATTGCAGGGCAGGGGGATGGGATGGGGTTTGGGAACTCACAGAAAAGGAGGTGTTTGCAATTTGCATTATTGTGTATATTCATAAATCTTAGGATTCTTAATAAGTGTAAGGGTTTAGGGAGATCACGATATAGTTTCTTGGGCCTAACAACAATACATAACAATATTTAATAATTTATTACTCATTATAGATCAATTACATTTTTTTTATGGTGGACATTACGGCTTTAGAGACACTAGGTCTCACTGAAATGCCCCTGCAATACAAAAAATACTTTCAATGAATAAAAAATCACAATGTAATTTGCTTGTTTACTCACTATCGTTTTGTCTCAAGCAAGTTGATGCATGCCACTCCACTCACTAACGTCTAATGTTTAGGTGAGACTATTTAGGATTTTCAGTGATGTATAATAAATATATCATGTTGCAGGTTGTGAAGAATCTGTTTAAAAATGGTTAACATGGATGGGTATACAATTACACCAGTTCCTTTGAGGGGCCCAGTAAAGATTTCAGATTGCCCACCCTGCCTCCTTAGAAGTTACACAACTGAGTAGTGACTTGCTGTGGCACTATAACTGGCACGCTTGCACAATTGCCAGTCATGGTATGTGGGGAGGATTGCTATATAGTTTCAGCAAACTGTAGTGTGGTGGTTAAAGGGCTCATTAGCTTCTCAACTTCTCAAAGCTGGTTAAAGCTGAACTGTAGACTATTTTTTATATACTACAGTTAAAAACACACTTCTGCACATTTTAATACACAATTACTGTTTATTTGCTGAATTTAACATATTGGGGGAAAATAACATAGCCTGTGCAAAAGTTATCATATTTTTATCCCAATATGTTAAACACAGCAGATAAATACATTTAATATACATATAAAAGATAATTGTGCATTACAATTTGCATTAATTGCTATATTTTAGTGTGTTCTCTATAGAGGATATGTGAACTTATTTTCACCTGTTCAAAATTTTGCACTCAACTGTACTGCACTGCAGTAACACCCATACCAATCAAGTGCACCTAAAAAAAAGTGAAAAAAAAACAAGAAAAATGTGTGAAAAAGGTGAGATAGAGGCAAAATATTTCAACAACCTGCCTTTTCATAGTACACAGAGGAAACATTAGTAAAGGATAATAATGAAAATATGTTTACAGTATAAAATATTTCTTTATTCAACTTTAAATATACAAACGATAAACCAGGTAGTTTTCATTCATATAATCTTCATTGGTCATTCAAGCAAGGTTTGTTAAAGATTAGTGTAACTGACTTCCATCAATCAAGCAATGGACAAAATGAAAGTTTCTCACATGCGTACAGGCACACACACACACACACACACACACACACACACACACACACACACACACACAAATAACTGGTCCAGCAAGCCCAGCACTTCACACAGGTTTTCAGTGCACTTTCAAAATTGTGTTACAGTAAATGCACTTTGAGTTCCTTCATCTCTTTTTTACAACTACAGGCACAGCAACGCACAGCAATACTGAGTGACTTCTATAGTGCTTGGACTGGGTCTGTCTTGATGCTTTAGCATATCCTTCTGCAAGCGATGAGCCTGAGTTAACTCCATTAGCTCCACATTCTATTTGACCACGCATTTCATCCTACACCAGTGGAAGGCTCGTCTGCTGTATGTGTTTATGAGGTATGAGTTTTACACTACAGCTGTTTTGCAGACAAGACTGGGAAACACGGAGATAAAAACTGCCACTTGCTCTCGATTTGCATACCACATTAAGACCTGTTGAAATAAGTAATGTTTAGATGGAGAGGAAGGCATAGTGCTAGGGTGTAAAAAAATTAAGCAGTACAGCATACATGCCCATTCAGAAACAAAGTAATTCACCTAAATAGAAAGAGAATCACTGTTATCTCTAAGCATTCAAATGAACTGAAGCAATGCACTGACTTAAAGCTTTCACTAAAAAGACAATAACACCCAACTCATTCCATATTATTAGTTTCAGAGGAATGCAGTTCAAATAAGCTTCTACTGGAATGAGAATAGACTCACATCATCTACAGCACAGGTTCCGAACCCTGGATGTGGTGTATCCCCTAGCCCTGCACATTTTAGTGTTTTCCCAGCTCTCGACACACCCACAAGGGCTTGTTAATGAGCTGATTAGTTGGATCAGGTGTGTTAGGAGCAGGGGAAACGCTAAAATGTGCAGGGTAGGGGGTTCTCCAGGATCAGGGCTGGAAAGCACTTATCTACATTTAGTTAACTAAGTGTCATGTGATAAAATTGATTTAAAATACAACTAACCATGTAAATAATCATGAATGCAAAATCTCCATTTCAAGCAGTACATGTCAGAGATGATCAGTGGTCAAAATATTTCAGTAATAACTGAAATCATTCCTAAAGCTAGTCTACAGGTCATTAAGGCTAGAAGCATGTAAATGTAAAGGCTTAGTGCTGATCACTAATGTTCACAGGAATCCTGTGGTACCAGAATATATGGGCTTTATTTGGGCTGCAGTGATGATGACGAAGACGAAGATGATGAAGGCGGTGGCTATTTCCAGGGCCGGCTGCTCTGTGACCTGGCACTCACCGAGCCCTGGCGACTACTCCGAGCGCTGGACACTTTAGAGTGGGCACTGCTGGTGGACATTCTACTGCTTAGACGACCTGGAGAAAGACAGGACATACATATATATACGTGTTTTGTCAAATCTAGTCTAATGTTTCACTGATGTACCTTGATGTGGGAAAAAAAGGGAAAAAAGAGAAACTAGGTGTTCAATATTATTCATATAAAACTTGATGAACCAGATGAATCAGTAGCTAGGTTCTATGCATTATTGGCATAAAGAGGATGGCAAATATTAAATAAAACTGTCAAACTTTGTATACAATTTGTATGTTTGTTTGCCAAAAAAAAGGAAATATGATAAATTACAACTGAAACATTCACTATTATAATAAATCAGGCAAATGCAAATACAATAAAGCCATGTGACTAATCAAGTGTTTCTGTTTTTCGCTCTGCCCTGGCTACAAAACATGACAGAAGGTGGCATCTACCAGCTGTCTTATGAATAATTTGAAATATTCCTTTATTTTATCAAAGAAAACAAAACAGTGATTCTAAACAATAAACACATAATTGCTATTCATCAATTAATGGTCAGTACATTCCATTTCTATGCTCTTGTGTTGTGAAATAAAAATCAACATTTAAAATTTCACTTACACCATATTTCATAGTGCTTTTTACAAGTGTGACTTTGAGTAGAGTACTTTTATTCTCTTGTAGAAAGCTGAAAGCCTTATTCACAAATGTTTTTGCAACATTTCAGTCATTTGATGGAATTTAATTCGACAGCTGGACAGAAATCGAACTACAAATAATAAATTACAGCTTACTTGCTGTTTTAATTTGACTTTATATCGCCATCTACTGGTGAGTGGAGCAAAATGACCACAACAAACTAAGAGGATCTTTTCATATTTAAACCCTAGAAGTCGCAGTTATCGCCAGTGATAACAAAAGCATGTCATTACTTTTTTGTGTACTATTTCTGACTCGTAGCTCATAGAAATGAGTGGAGAGATTGTGTGTAAAGTGCAAACTCTAAACTTTCAACCTATCACCCATTTGTGTTAGAGTAGAGGAGATATTTTATTTTGATCTGAATTTGCTGAAAAAAAATTGTGAAGATTTTTTGACAGTTTTTGACTGAAGTGTAGACTTGAATCTGTCAATATAGAATGTAAACTGAATGTAGATGTAAATAACTATGTAATTATGCAATTTCATTTAAACTGTAGGGCTTATTACTTTAATCTCAATCACAAATAAAAGAGTGTAATTTTCAAATCTCAAGAGCTGCAGTTTTTATTATAGCTTACACTATCAACAAATTTTAACTGGGGAAATTTTGCCCAATAGTACGGAGCTCGTGCCTGAGACCAATCAGAAGCAACTGTGCTGTGACATCACTACCACAACTAACTTGCTCCCTGGCATGCTGTGCTCTGCGTTCAAGCCTCAAGCTGGAAAAAACTGGATACTGGTCTTCTTGGCCAAAATAGCAAGTGTAGTTTATAGAGAAATAATCACAATTTAAATCACAAAGTCTGAAAAACTGCAAATAGATATTTCCCCAATTAAATGGTACAGTAAAAATAACAGTAATAACACTAGACTTCTAAGGGTTGAAGTCAGCCTGTACCATAAACATAACATTAGTATCTTGTCAGATCCTTTATCTCAGCGTAAACCAGATCACTTACTGCTAGTCTCACTAGGTATGAGCACTTCTTCCAGATAATGCTGGATTTTGCCAAGGTCTTCTGAAGAGAAACGCCATTTCTTTTCAGCTGGTTGCTGCGTCTGACGTGGTGTGGAATACTTCCGCCCTGAAGACCCCGTCGGAGATTGAAGACAGGAGATGGGAAAAGAGCCTGTCGTCATTCCTTCTGGAAACTTCTGCGCTATTACCTTCAAACCTTGTGCAGTGATGGACAGAAGAATTTCAAAACTGTATTACTTTCACTGAGAATCATGTATCCACATCCCACCAAATCAAGTATTACAAAATAGGTCTAAATATGTCCACACTGCTACCCTTTGAACATGAGCAGCTGCTATAAGGGGCTCACCTCCAGAGAGCATGAAGAGATTTTCAAAGCCCCTCTCGCACATGGTGGTGGCCGCCTGGCTTGCTATCCTTTCATCTTCATCATAGAGAATGATGATCTTTCCTGAGGCGTTTTTCTGTGAAATGGTTCAAGACTTCTTCCACAAATACTTGTATTATTGTTTACACCAATTTAAATTCATGTCTTACTTTAATACAATAATAAGCCCAAAGGATACATAGTCCAGCACTTCCTTGGTGTAAGGATTCATCGTTCTTGATAGGGTTGCAATAGGGTAACTGTGTGCTGTAAACGGAGACAGAGATCAATCCCAAAATCTCAAATCAAAGGTCAAAAGTTAAGGGCAGCTTCACCTTCATTTGGAAATATGACTGATTGAAAGTATTTTAAAAGATCATTAAAGACTAAAAAGGACTGATTTCCACTGAACAGGTTTAGTCTAATTAAAATACTACAAACAATTCTCAATTCAATCAATTCCCATTTACTATTACAAGTCTGTACACTAGTAATGTAATCCAATCAGCACTACTCTCTGTGCTTTATTCAGGTTTGGTAAAGATATATTCAATTTTAAACCTGCCTCTCATTTCTTACTAGCCTAAGGCCAATAACTGATATTACCAAGTCCTGCAATAATATAAATACGTGCCAGTATTACACAAATTATCATTCCTTTGTTCTCTTTCATGTGCCATGTGATTTTTTTGTCATTGCTCCGTCTTATCTAACCATTTGCTTTGTACAATCTATCTATATTTGGTTAAAAATACAATAGAAAAGGTTGCGCTTAATCATAAGCTACACAAACAAAACAACACCTACATACATACGTTGAATGGCACTTGGAAAGATTATAATTTGGAGTTAAAGAAAGAGTAAAATGGACAAGCTTGTACAGAAGAAGGGTGCCGATGTGCCAGATTGGCAGTATTTTGGCTTCCATCCAAACAAATGCAGAGAACCTTTGCATGTTAACAGTGTTACATGCCGTCAATGCAGAACACATGACCATTATGAAGTAAATGACCTACATATGGTCACAATGATATTGTTTATAATTCTGCAGACGGTAATCATTTGTCTAAAGTTAACTGATCATAAAAGTTTATTTCTTACCACTGATGATATGACACTGATCATACTGGTCTCTGTCCCGGACGTCCAGCAGCAGGTAAGGGCAGTCTGAGTAGGGGCGCTCTGCAGAGCTGGGAGCGGACACTGGAGTCAGGCTGACTGCCTTCTGCCCATTCTTATCCAAATCCATTTCTCCAACGCCACTGATCACACTGGCAAGAACACAAACACTCTCAGATTAACTGATCTGGGGTAGCTGTCGGTGTTTCAGCAGAATGTAAGTAATATAACCTCACTGAGTCTCTGAGGGGGGAGTCTAGTTGCACTCCTCTGCCCCGGTCAAGTCTAATGGAACTCAGGGCCCTGAGAAAGCGGACTATCCAATGTGGGCTCTTTGTGGATTTACAATAGAGGGGGGTGAGCTGCTCAGATATACAGGGAGACATGCTGGCTAGCCAGATTAAAGGAATAAGGTTACAAGCACAGAGGTCTGTGTGTACAGTTGGATGCACCCCCACTCAAATGACATTTTTTGCTGATTTTTCTAAGTGAAAATAAGTTAAACATCCTCTACTGGAAACTTAAATACGGCACTTCCTGCAAACTGTAGTGCACAATTTCTATTTATTTGTTCAGTTTAACATATTGGGAAAAAATAATACATAAAGCATAAAACAACATGTTAAATTCAGCAAACAAAGTGTGATTATGCATGAAAATGTGCAGAAGTGTGTTCTTTGTAGAGGATGTGTAAGTTATTTTCAATAAGAAAATTAACAAAACTTGTTATTTGACCACAGGTGCCCAAACTTTTGTATACTGCATGCATGAGTGTGTTTTAATGAGAACTAAAGGTTGAAGCTACCTTTGAAGTGTGGATCTAGGAGAAAAGCCAATGTCGCCTGATTCATTGCCATCTATGAGTTGAACAGGTTGAGGTGTTAGCTGGGGTGAGCCATTGGTCTGATCTGAGAGACGATCTGTTTCTGCCGACTCTGAAACATCATCTAGGACAGAAAGGATGTATAAACAGACAAAATCTGACAAACGACAAACTGAGAAACACAAGAATCAGGCATTCACTTGACAGAATTTACCTTCAAGTCTAGGAATTTCATCCATTATGCTTTCATTCAGATCAGACACTGAAGCAACTTGTATTACCTGATAAAAGACAAAGTCAGTCTTTATCAGTAAATCATCACATTCACAGGGGATAATTCAACATCATATATGCACAAGAACACAGCTACTGAAATAAAAAGTACAATACTCATATAACTTACCAGCTGAGCAAATGTCGTCACTTTGAGCCTCTTAAACAGTTCATCTTTTCTATATCTGTAATCTAAGAGCACATACATTCACAGTTACACAATAAACAACCAAAATGTCTCACCACTAACTTTCACAATGTGACTCAGAGCCACATTTAGCAAGAGTAAAATGCAATCTGATTCCTGCATAAAATCTCACTCACCGGGGTCCTGTGAATCACCATTTTTTACCTCATCCTCATCAACCAACAAATCACACAAGTTCAACCCTCCGATATCCGTCCCCATACTGTCTAAAAGAAGAGGCTGCAGCCTGCGCTGGACCTGAACAGCTTCTGAAAGAAACACTGCCAGCGCCTCCTTTTAATGCTGGCAAGAGTTCCAAAGGCCAACCTCGCCATCTATCCTGCTAAAGAGCAAATACGGACACTGCCACACAGGGTTCCGCTGGCTAAAACCTGACAGAGGAATTATTGTAATCTACAGTACAATCAGTCCCCTCTGCTCATTCAGTCAAACCAGGGAATCGTTGTGTTGCTTATCCCTGAGAAATCTGAGAGAAACTGTAACAAGATGGCTTCTGTGGACAAAGTGGCCATTCTTGGAGAAAAAGCCAGGTTATCTGGTCAGAAAATATCAGTAGGGCAGAGCTTCTCTTATTTGCAATGCTTAATAGACAAAAACTGAAAAGTATTCCCTTAAATACCCTCAACACCCTCGGTAAACTTGCCATATTTAAGTCAGTGTCCTTGTTTTGCATGCAAACTTTGATAAATTGTACCAGTGTACCAAAGCTATAGTGGTGGAGAAGAAAGTACTAGAAAACTGATCCATCTTTAATTTAGAGTAGGGTAATATAGCAAAATGTAATATCACGACAATTCAGTAAGCATTTTACAATACATGATATATCATGATATTTATTTTTTCTGACATTTGATATGTTAGAACACAAAAAAGTAGTGTCACATTTCAAAAAGACTGTCAAAAACTTTGAATCCAATTACTCGTATTCAACATTTCACACACTGTACTGCACTAAATCTGATTAAACAGGACTAACTGGGCTCTCTTATAAACAAACATGCAGTTGGAAAGTGTTTAAGTATGGGTGATCGACCATGATATGCTCTGAAAAGCATACTTTTGTGAGGGAATTTATCATGATAATGATAAATATTGTCATATTGCTCAGCTCTACTTTAACTGTACTTACTTTTCTTTATCTCCTCCAACCTCTCCATGTATTTTGTCATGCTGGATCCTAGCAAAATAAACAGCAGTTATATTTTAAGACTAATATTATAATAACACTACACAGCTTTAAAAAGTATATAAAAACACACACATTAAACTCTAAATATACACATTAATATACACCAGAATTGCACCATTTCCAATGTACAGTTTTTGTAACACTAATATAGGTATGAAGTAACAGCTATGATATGTACAGTTGTACATATTTCCATACATGCATTTAGTGAGTCTGAGGTAGATAAATGAGATACAGGATGCATAGGAGATAAAATATAGATATATATGTTCCAGATTATACAAGATATGGATAGAAGTAAATGAAGAACTCCATTTTCATCCCTCACAGCATGATCCATGGAAAGAATAAAACTAGGAATGTTACCTGTGTCAAGCCTCGATTTTACATGTTGATATTTTGGATTTTGTGGGATTCTCTTTTTCAGTACTGCAAAAAAGGAGCAGACATGATTGGAGTGGCCCTGGTAAGCTGCACCATGTTTTAAACTCAAGCTGGAACTGTCTTGTTTCAATTGTTTCAAGGTAACCCAGTAAAACAAACTGTAACCCAGCCAAAGCAAACAGTAACTGAGCGGACACAGAAAGCTCGGTTATTTCATATCTAGCAGTGATGCAGTTACGCAATGAATATATCATCCAGCACCGGAACCGTCGTTTGTGCTGCTGGCAACGCAGGAATCACCAGCCACGGTGTCAAATGACTGCAGGAACCTTAACGCCACAGCTTCAACAGACCATTCTTAGATAGCCAGGTTAGTTCGTGAAACGCAGTTTTGTCGCCTATCTGCCGCTTCAGTGAATACCTACCAGAACAGACTGAAAACACTGACCTCTGTGTCGCCAATACTCCGTTTCGAAGACATCTTACAGACGCGCAGCCAAGCTCGGCTAACGTTGCAGCCCTCGAAATCAAAATTCACAGCTTTGCAAAATTGAACAAGACCGTCGCTGATTGGCCCGTTGGTTCGCCTGTCCAATCAACAAGGCTGTTCATATGACGTCTGCGGCGACTTCCATCGACTCTGCCGTTGCGTAGCAACAGTGGCGTGAAGCTTTTAGCTGAGTTGTCGAGCTGAAGTTACTTAGCAACCTGTTAGCCAAATCCTAATCTTTAGCGATTAAATAATAAATAACGTTTCGGGTTGAGGCATAATAAGCGAGAATAATCTGACACCTGAAGGCCTTTCGGTTGACATTTCTCGCTGCCGTAAGGTGGATTTCTACAAGCTTTCTAGTTTAAGTTAGCTTGCTAGCTAGTTGGCTAACTCTCCATAAAAGGAGAAATCGGGCTTTATCATGCCTGCAGGTGCCGTACATGATCTAGATTCGGAATTTAACACAAGTAATCGGCAGGTCTGTGTTCAAAATGGAGCTGGTTGCTTTTTTATATTAGCATCTAGCTAAGTTACAATGCTTGGACTATTCGAGAGAGTAACTTAAGAACGGAATCGACCCATCTAGGTTCGACTATTTCGGACTAGCTGTGTAAAACGCGCCTTGTTTGACAGATGGGAAGTAACTTGGCTAACTAGATTCTGTTTACCTTATATGATAAAGAAAAAGACTGAAAGTTTGTAACGCATGCGAGAAGTTTCAAAAGCATGCAACTAGCTAGTTAGCTAGCTGGTAAAATTCAATGGCATCTGTCTTGGTAAGTGGATACCAACTTAAATTAGCTACCTCGCTAACCGTTTTAAACGTAGCTGATGTTAAGTTGCTATTTAGCTAACTAGCTAACCATTTAGCTGACTTAGTTGGCAGCTATATTGGTTACGGTATATAACACCATGCTGAAGTTAGTGTTTTACTCGCCCGCTTTTTAATTCCAATTTTACGTTCCACCTTAAATGGCATAGCAGCCGTGTAGCGGTGTGCATGCTCCAGAATGTAACTGCCGCACCATTTAAGGTGGAACGGAAAACTCGAATGAGAGGCTCACTTAGTGAAAAGTAGTTTGAGTAGCTTCTTAGCTGGCTAGCTTAAATAATGGATTTAGTGCTCTTTATTTGTCACGTCAATTATCAAGAGTGGCAGAAGATCTAGCTCGTCTAAAACAACAAGCTGGAAAGCAGCAGTTAAATTGGTCTCATAACTTATGAAGTCTGTAGTCTGTAAATGCTGTATTTTGATATAGATGCGTAATTAAGTAAGTTTATGGTCATGTCCGCACACAAAAATGACATGTATTTCCATTTCAGGAGGATCCCACCCTTGAGAGGTGTTTTAAAGGACACAAAGATGCTGTCACATGTGCAGATTTCAGTCCCAGCCATAAGCAGTTGGGTATGTTGGAGTGTGCATGTCCTGTTAAAGGGAATTCCACCATTTTTAAAATACATTTCTGCATAATTAAATCCTTAAGATGTAAGCAAAGTCATTTAGAGTGGTTTGATGTGAAATGTGTTGTGGAGAAACGTACCAGTTTGGATTTGTTTACAAGAAGAGTGATGGGAACAGGAGGTTGTGGCGACTACAACACAAATACAGCCATTATTATTTTTTTTTACCCAAAATAACCAGTCAACCTATGTGTCTTCTGAGGTTTTAATATATAATGTTCATAATGGAAAATAGTGATTAATCTGATAAAAAAAATGTTTTCTTTGGCTTTCCTTTGGTCTTTTCTGGCCTTAGAACTTCTTGCATATATTTCCCAGGCAATAATGTATTAAAAAAATATGTTAAAGGCCAAAGCTGTGTCACAAAACTATCGTAAAACAATCAGGCATCAGGCAATGCATTGAAGCAATGTATGATTGAATCATGAAGAAAACCCAATTAAATTCCTCTTTAAAATGTATCACCAATCTGTTTTGCCCTATTTAACTATGGTGAACCTTTTTTTCCAGCCACTGGATCTAATGACAAGAATCTAATGATCTGGAACCTCAACCCAAAAGCCAGAGCTTTTAGATTTGTGGGTCATAAGGATATCATAACTGCAGTCCACTTCTCCCCATCTGGTGACTTGGTAGCTTCTGCATCCAGGGACAAGACTGTTCGACTTTGGACACCGAACATGTGAGCAAAAACATACAAGATTTTCAATATGTCCTCTTTGTAATGGGTTAGACTTGATTTAATGTTGCAGGTATGTCTAAAATATCTCTATTGTCCTATGTCAGCAAAGGAGAGTCAACTGTGTTCAAAGTGCACACATCCACGGTACGCAGTGTGAGCTTCTCCAGTGATGGTCAGAGACTGGTTACTGCCTCGGATGACAAGTCAGTGAAAGTGTGGAGTGTGCATCGGCAGAAATTCATCTACTCCCTAAATCAGCACACCAACTGGGTGCGTTGTGCAAGGTATGCAGCTGGTGTTTCTCGCAATTTCCCTAATTTGTAATAAACTGTTTTTTAGAAAAAAACTAAACTGATAATGATGTTATAAATGTTAACAGAATTGCAGGCTCAAGAAAAATAAAAATGTTGATAAATAGACTAATTATGATTCATACAGACTAGACAAATTAAAGGAAAAAAGCTACATGAAGTGTCCTAGTAAGATCCTGGGCCACCACAAACAGGTTCACTACATCTTGGCATAGATTCTGTAGGTCTCTGGAAGTACTGGAGGGAACACTGTTCTCCTAGAACACATGTCACGCTCCAATCCTCATGGGCCAAAATATTGTAGACTTTAGCACACTGCTTCATTAAACACACTTGATTAAGCTCATCAGGCCTTCATGAACTGAATTCAGAGCGTTAGATGAGGGTAAACGCTAATCTCCTCAGCACTTTGGCCCGGAGGGTCCCCAGTTGGACATGCCTGTCCTAGAAGATATTTCCTTAATTGGTGTTTTGATGAGGTGGTGGAGAGCACCGTCTAATACATCACCACATTCCAAAATCTCCCATAGGTGTTCAGTTGGGTTAAGCCATAGCATATGATTTACCAAATTTTTGTAATCCTCAAATCATTCAGTGACCATCCACAGGGCAGGAGGAGTCACTGTGTCATCCTGTGAGAGACCACTCCCATCAGAATAGAAATGTTTCATCATAGAATACTGGTGATCAGTCAGAATAACTTTCTAGTCACCCATCCAAGGGGACAAGAAGACCCAAATCATTCCAGCAAAATCCACCCCCCCAGCATAACAAAGCCACCAGAACCCCACACAGTAGAGGTCAAACATTTAGGCCTGTATAATTCTCTTGGTGTACACAACACATGCACTTGCCCACTTGTGATAAATATGGGGAAGGATTGCTCATCTAACCGTCACTTTTTTCCCACATCTCTGTAGACCAGAGCTCTTTTTTTTTCTCTAATGTACTCTATTACACAGCTTTACTATAATACTCCTATGTCGTTGAGGATGGACTGCTGGCACACTGATCACATCCTGCACTGACATTCTCAGCTACCTGAGGAACAGTTGCTCTTCTGTTTTTCCTTATATATCACAATGATGCACAAGCATTGCGCTCATTGAATGTGCACTTTCAACCGTAATTTCCAACACCAGCTGTTGTCTTTCTCTTAGATCCAAATGCAGATATCATGTTCTTCATTGATCCTATTGAAACACAGGCCAGTTCATCAGTATTTGTGATTAAAGCTCCTGCTGTCCATTCCCCAACAATGAACCTTCTTTCACTTAAACACTGAGATCTTTTCTGTTTGCCAGATTATTCCAAATTCAAGGTAAACTGGGCCTGCTTATCATTTTTTAAATTATATTTTAATTGTTTTACAAAACAGAATATGCATATATACAATACACAGTGTGACAACAGGAATCTGAAAAAACAAAAACAAGAAACAAAGAGAAGAAGAGAGGGAAAAACCAACACATACTCACAGAAAACAAAAATGGCTCCAAAAGGCCACCTAGTGTGAGAATACAACATTGTTACATTTGTAAATGAAGAAGTTAAAATAGCTGATTTAGTGCTTATATCAAACCAGAAAGTAACAGCAGTGCTGCACTCCAGTCAGGCTATATGAATAAATGAAGCATTCCAAAAATGATTTAGATATATATCAGGAGCAAAGAATAGCTATAGTATGGTTTTCTCTGCAGCTGTAATGGCAGGCTGCCATTTAATAACCTTTTCTGAACTAGTGAGATTCAGTAGTGTGAGTCATCATTTAATAGGAGTAAACCTGGATCTAGACCAAAGGTCACTTAATTCATGGACCACATATTTACAGAAAAATATAACAGTCTCAAAACAGGCAGACTAAAGTAGCTTTTGAAATTGTTCATATATAGTAGTTAGGATTTTATTTTGTTAATTATGGCTTGTATGGTGTGCACTACATTTTATGAATAATAATGAAATGAATAAGTTGTCACACATAGACAACATTTTTAGTGGTTTATATGAATTTATCGTAAATAAAGGTTACTGCACCTTGAAAACTTCCAGTGTACTTAATCATTGCTTGGCAGTTTTTGTACATGCCACAAAGCAGGGTAGAATGTTAATAACTTAATTAGCAGCTCCACTTGTTCAGTTTCTGTGCTCATTTATTCAGGTTTTTTCTATGTCACTCGTCTGTATATCAAAGATATGTTTTAGCTTTTGTCACAGTCAGCGTTTGTTTTTCAGGTTTTCACCAGATGGACGATTAGTGGCGTCCTGTGGTGATGATAGAACTGTTCGCCTGTGGGACACATCAACCCGCCAGTGCATCAACACTTTCTCTGACTACGGCGGGTGAGATTTCCCTTTTCTCTGTTATATCTCAGGTTGGAGATCCGAGGAGAATGAATATGTCTGTGTTGATGCTTTTACTTAATTTCCTCTTGATCTCTCATTCCAGAAGTATTTCTTTGTCGCCTCATTTTCATCCACAGGCCAGCAACATTTGTGGACTTCAATGCCAGTGGTACTTGCATTGCATCATCGGGAGCAGACAACACACTGAAAATATGGGACATCCGAACAAACAAACTTATCCAACATTACCAGGGTAAATTAGATTCTCTGCTGTTTCTTTACTGCTAAACTGATTTTAAAACAATCTTGTTATTAGAACCACGTTATTCACCGACCTCACTTTCCTCTGTCTCAGTCCACAGCGCAGCAATCAACGGCTTTTCTTTCCACCCGTCTGGAAACTACCTGATCAGCGGTTCCAGTGACAGCACAGTGAAGATCCTGGACCTGCTGGAAGGAAGACTCATCTACACTCTTCATGGCCACAAGGTGAAGCTCTCAAAGGCCACAAGGCTGTGTTCGCTTTATGAACTTGAGTTACACTTCATGTGGTGTAAAATGGATCATCTGATGAAGAACAGAGCAGAAGTAGGAGTGGCGATGTGGCAAAAATACATCACCATGATATTTCAGAACACTTTCACTATCCTCATAGTGCATCATGATATTTAGTTTTTCAAAGGAAAAGGAACCAGTACATTTAAAAAAACTATTAAAAACTGTTAACACACGGATTTTTATTAAACTTTTCACATACTGTGCTGCATCAAATCAGATTAAACAGACCTAATTATTCTCGCTTAGCAATAAAACGTGCATTTGGTCCTGTGGACGATCAACAGTACACTTGTGTATTGTCACGTGATGTAATTTACTTTGACATGATTATACTGTCATATTGCCCACCCTTTAGCAGAAAGTTTTTTCTTTTCCCAGGGTCCAGTTCTGGCAGTGGCATTCTCTCGAGAAGGTGATCTTTTTGCCTCTGGGGGAGCTGATTCGCAGGTATAGAGTAGTATAATAGGCTGTCATATGCTTTTCCTGGACTGGAAGGTTGATCGGTCATGTGTCTGATCCAGAGCATCTGGTGATGTCTGCATAGGTTCTGATGTGGAAGACCAACTTTGATGCGCTGAACTACAGGGAAGTGTTAAGCAGACACAGCAAGCGGGTAACCCCAGATCCCCCTCCTCACCTGACGGACATCTACCCCAGGTCCCCCCACCGTCACCACACCCAGAATGGAACTGTTGAGGTTAGTGCTCAGACAGCACAACTACTAAAACAACAGATAACTTCACTATTGCCACTATGTCATTGTTGTTTTGTCACAATGTTAATTATTCAACCTAAACAGATGAGCCAATCATTGCATCAGCCCTGAGAAACATGTAAACAACTGAACAGACTACAAGAAGAGTCGATTAATGAAATGCACTGCTGAGCTTTTCATACCTTGTAATATGATGACTTGTCTGTTGTGTCTTTTATTAACTGTCCAGCATGTGCCTTTTCAGATTAATCCTGTTGTTACTGACATCCAGTCAGCTGATCCTCATGTGGTGGAGGTAGGAGAGGCTCCGTTCTCCCTGAAGGTAAGATTTAATCTCCGAAGCTGAAGCTCCTCCAGAATCAGTGTAGAGTTTAGTTACACAAACAAAGTGTAGAGAACAGTGGAAATGTATTTCTTAACTGAGGTTGCGACTAAGTAGATGAGCTAAGAACTAAGTATCTGTGTCCTATTATGTAGTTTAACCAAAGTTTGCATGGAAAATCTGCAGCATTTTTGATCATTGTCTGGTCTTTACGTTGAAATGACAAAGAGTAGAGTATTGTATTGCACCTTTCCTTTGTAGTTGCTCCTGCAATAATTACACTACTGAATTATTTCTCTAGTGAGAGTACAAGCTGTATTAAAACACAATTCTTGCCAAGCCAAAACTAAAACATTTAGCTTGAGAGTTTCTCTAACAAAAGCAGTGAGAAAGGAAATGACTGTTGCAGTCAATGTTGCCATGAATTGTTTACCCTGGGTATTTGTTTAACTCTTGTAATCATGCAGGCATCTCTTTAAAAAGAGGCCTCAGTCTTTAAAACTCATTTAAACCTGTGTAGGGCATATAAGATTGTAGCACATCCACCAGGGGGCGATGCAGGCTATATATTGTGTGGTGTGTGATGCGATGCCTTCAGACGTGCATGTTTTACTGCCACCTGGTGTTGGTGAACAGCTCAACAGTGACACCGTTGTGCTCTAGGATAAAAAAGACAGTTTGGCTACTGGAATACATTTTTACTGCAGTCGCTGTGGTAGTGGAGAATTTGCTTTTATTCCTCTGGTTAAAATGATAAGATGTTTACAATCTGTATTCTGTCTGCATTAATATGCGTAAAGCAGGGCAGTTACTGAATTCCTTAGAGGAGGTGTGTTTAATTATTACATCAGTTTGAAAGTGTAAAGAGCACTTCTCCTGATGGTAGCGTGCAGAGGGCGCAGTGCGCTGGTGCAGCTCATAACACAGCCCTGAGAGCTCACACGTGATCTGCTTAATGCACACTACACTTAGGGCCTTTTCAAACGCAATCCCGTCAGTTACATTGTATATTACTCTGAACAAGGGCTGAACAATATTTGGAAGAATGACATTGAGATGTTTTAGTTTTTGCAACAAATATTGTGATATTTAATAATGTTAGATTTGTTTTGTATTTGTAGAAGAATGTGTTTAGAGGAGAAATTCAGGCAGTGCACTGTTAAAAATAAAGATTCTGTGCAGGTACATTTTTCGTTCATCAAGGTACAAACAACGTAAACGTTCCCTCAAAGGTACAACAGTGGTTTTAAGATCCAGTTGTGAACCTTAAATAACCTTTTTCCCAGGTGAAAAGTACGCATTTGTAGCTTTTCATAATCTAATGTTTTAAAATAGAGCAATAAAATAAAAAGGCTGGAGATGAGACGGGGTGTGTGGAGTCAGTACAACTTAAAATATAATTTCAGTGGAATTATGTTCCCTGACGAAAGGTAATGAGATGACCACCCCAGTGACAAGAGGGGTACTGCCCCAGAGACAGTTTACTACTTTTATTTCTGAGAGTGTAGTCTAATAATATGGTTAACTCAAAATAACAGTTGTAAAGTGTTAGTACTAGGGTTTCATATGTAGAAAGTACTAGCGGTGCACCATCGGCCAAGATTTTGGCCAGTTTTTGCTTTTCGGTAATTGGCCAATTTATTATGTTCGTTTTTATGTTTATGATCTGTGTAACAATATTATGACATAATTAATGTGCGTCTATTTATAGATTCTATAATGTAAGGGTAGATCACGATCCTCCTCTGCTGTCTGGCATTAGGGAAAAGTGTAGCACCAGCTTGGCCATTAGACCTTGTAAATTGAAAGCCAATCATATTAGACCTTGACAACAGTGAAACTCTTCCAAATGTAACGACAGTTCTCTACAGTAATGGCAAAATGTGTCATGAGTGAAGCTCTGGGCCTTTAACAACAGTACATTTCAAAAGTAAGTTTTGATGAAATTATTACTTTTAACTGTTACTATAATCGACTGAAATAGTGATGATTAGAAACTACATCTGTTTAGTCCTGCATATACTCGCACTACAAAACAGTGCTGCTGCAGCTAATCATTTTCTAGTTGACTGTCTACTACTGGCTGCCGTTAACTGTTGTGTTAAGGTAAACATACCTTTTTTCATCATTGTAAAATAAAATAAAATAAAATTAATGGGGGAAAAGCACAGTTTGGATGTTTGCTGGCTTGCTAGTTAGTTAAACGTGTGCTACTTTGTCTTATTTCAGCTGTAAAACTGATTTGACATATGTGTCCTTTGGCTAGCCAAGTTAAATCTTGGAAATTTGTGAGTTGATTAGATTATCATCAAGGTATTAATGACTGGATAATGTTTGATTAATGATGACAGCATACCATTTTCATTTATTTTGGTATTTACCAAAACAGTACACATGTATGTACCAGTCAGTTATAACATGCTTTTCCACATTATTCAATCTTTCGTTGGCCACACCGTCTCTGTACGGCAATGAATATGAAGAGAAAACAATGCACTGATGCACCAGTGACAGGACTGAAGACAGACCTACATAATTTTGTTATTTTGTTTGTTTATTTGTTGGAGCACATGAATACTCTTGATTCATCCGAACACCCACACAAGCTCATCTGAAGCCTTTGAGGTTGGCCAGAATGCTCAAAGCACACAGTAAAAAAAAAAGTGTAATTTGCTAGACGGCTCAGTGGCATATTGCAACCTTTGGCAGTACTAATATTGCTGGTCCAATATCACAATAATGATCAACAAATATATATTGTGCGTAGGCCTGACATAATTATTACATAATTGCCTAATCACAATTATTTGGGATGATCGCAGTGATCACTTTCCACATTAGATTTCACAGTAATATTAACAAACAAAATGTAAATTGAATGTGGTGGGTGGAGGCAAATACATGTAAATAAAAGAAAGCAGTAAATTTGTTCATTAAAACACATCATAGAACTTATGAAAACAAAAAAAATCATGTTTAACGGGCAACGCAAAGTAATATGTTTAAAGGGCAGTTCTGAATAGTGTGTGTGTGTGTATGTGTGTGTGTGTGTGTGTGTGTGTGTGTGTTTGTTAGCTGTGTAGCTAATGTTTTTAGCATGCATGCTAGCAGAATTTTTTTGCTTATATTTTCACTCTCAAGAAAAAATATAAGCTTTGTCTAAATACGCATGATTCCGTGTAACTGAGACATTTGTGTGAGAGTGCTCAGTAAACATGGCTAAGAAGCAAGATGACTAGTTAGCCAATATTTCCTTCCTTACTTTTGACTTGACCTTTAATAGATGCATAAAATGAACAAGAAAAAAACAATTTAAATTTTTGATCGCAATTATTTATATGACATTCAATCGTCAGCTAAAATTTCAGGCTTGTGACAGCCCTAATTGTGCGGGCCTGCAGTCAATTTCTCTCTGAGTATAATTCTCTCATTCAGTCTCCTTTGTCTGTGTCTTTCTCTTACTCAGTGTGTCTCCCAGTCTTTTGCTTTTTGTCCCTCTTACATATTCTCTGCCTGTGTGCTCTGTGTAGTAGCTCAAGCATGAAAGCAGCCCAGTAGTCCGTACACACACGCATACACACACACAGACATGCACACGTGCTTTTAGCTGACCTCACTTTGCCACTGGAGCCGATGCCTAATAATAGACTATTTCATGCTATGACTTCAGCTTTGCTCTCCCTCTCTCTCTCCTTTGCATTCCTTTTTTTTTTTTCTGCATTTCCATTTCCTCTATCATTCACTAAATTGCATACAGGACATGAAGTCCCTAACCAACACCATGCCTCCTGCTAAGTGGGTTCAATCTGGTTCAGGGTGCCCTCCTGTTCCGGAGCTGTCAGGCTGTATTTACAGGGAAACCCTCAGATGTCCGGCCCCGCGCATCCCACTGTCCCCCAGGTCAGAGTTTCCTCAGTCCGCAGCCCTGTGTTGCGTGCGTGGGAGGCCAGAGAGGAGGAAGCAGGCGGCGCGGTGAAGTCTAACCCGGGGCACCTTTTTGTGTGACACTTCCTGCCATTGCTTCCCCTTCACTGACTCTCTCTCTACTCTCCTTTCAGTTCCAGCATGTGTCTGTGTGAGATGACGCAGTATTTGCTTGATGCCCTCCTCAGTGCGGCTCTCCCCGGCGCATTAGCCCTTAAGCGCTCTCGTGCATTTGCAGCATTAGCAGGCCCCATCGCTTCTGAATGGGCGCGCAGAGCACGTCAGCACTGAGCTCAACACACTCGGCCCATTGATGAGAATGCATCTACTCTTCATATTTCCTCTGCATCCTCACTGATACTGTGCATCCTGTCTTAAAGAGGTAGTTCAGTGAGACATGCCAAGACATGTTTGGTGTCTGAAATCTGTTTCTTTAGTTTTGCACTGGAGCTAAAAGTTAATGTAGCTAACAAGAAATTGAAGCTTGAACCCCTCAATTAGCACAGTGCAAACTAGCGATGCACTGAAATTTCAGCCACCGAAAAGAGAAAAAAGTTGGTCAGAAAACGCAATAGATTTAATAGGTCTGCGCTGAAGCGTCCAGACCTACAACTTAACAAATTATATGAATGGAAATGAAAAAGAGAAACAGTGAATAAAACCACTGTTTGTTTCCCTGCCTCTTCTGCTCTAGTCAGACACATTCAAACTGTTTGAGCAGCAGCAGATCAACAGTGACGCGCTCAAACGTGGTCTTCTGCAGCTTAGACCTGCACACTATACAGTCTTTAGCTTACATGTGTTTCAGCATTAAATGATTTAATGAAAAACTTTAATGGAAATCACATTTTCTATTTATTTATAACTCATTATTCATCAAAGTTGCATCATATCTGGTGGTAAAATGACTGCACACCACTCACTTGGCGTATGTGTGCAGTCAGACTCTGGTAGGAGTTCGTGTACATTTCAGTTTGAGTTTAACAGCCTGAAAAATAGTGCTTGATTTGTGGTTAACCAACTAAAACTATTATCAATGTCATCTATAATACCAATATTAAGAGTAACACTAGAGC